CTCTATGGATAAACTGTTCTCCAGTGTTTGGGGGTTTAAAATCAACTAAATGCACTGTCCCAAGCAGTGCAGAGTGAAAGAGGGGATATGAACCACCCCTGACTGCAGCCCAGGAGGGCCCAGGGCATCACAGGCAGGTGGGTAAGTACAGAGCAAGTACAGAGGCATGTACAGAGCAGCCCTGACACCAGCCCAAAGAGAGACCCTGGTACTGGAGCACAACTTCCACATTTCTTTAAAGGATGAGACCATGTTCAACAAAACATTAACCCCTGCTTTGAAATGGTCCCATATAAACACAAAAGGCAAGCTGTGTTCCTCTTAAGGACCCCAGCAGTTATTTCGGTCACAGAATAAGTTTTTCCCTTCCAGAGAGATTTTGTACTTTAACTCCCTTAGACACTAAGATGAGCAAGAATCTGTTGTTGGCTCTACTGAAATAATAAAGGATGAAAATACCCACACAGGTAACTAAGCAATTCGAGCAACTGAACCAATGCTAATTTCGTTATTAAAACTATTACAAGACCACTCAGAATGTGCTCTATTTTCTCAGTGCTTGGGAAAACAAACTCTGATTCTGCAGATATTATTTTGCTCATCTTGTCTCTCTTTCCTGTCGTGCAGCCCAACACATTCAGATTTGGGTCCCTCACATAGTCACAAATGTTAAATCCAAGCTCTGGGACTCCAGGGCCTGCCAGAGCTTCTTTCCCACAGCGGGGTGGGGGATTTTGTTTGTTTCATTTCCAGCAGAGTGATCTCAGAAAGACAAATATCAACTCTCTGCATTTGTCACAAGCTCCGTTCGTGAGAACCGCGTTCAAAACAGGAGTTTTTCATTCTAAAATGAAAAGCATCTCTTGGCATCATAAGAATTCAGCTGAACTTCAAAGACAACATGAGAAGCAAGACCTAAATACAACTATAGAGCCCTAAACTTTAAAAGCAACCCAAGTGCAAAAATATCCATAGAGTTTCAGGATTCTACATAGTGATTTCAAGAAATTCAACATTAGGCCTTAAAAATCAAGCACTCACTCCTTCCCTCCATTCACTGCTGCACACTGGCTAGGAAATCCTGGTACCAAGTTGCATTTACCAAGTATGCCCCCAACTGCTGAGGTGTATTGCAAGTTATACTTAAACAAATTGTATTTTGCTACACAGGAGACTGACAAATTAAAAAGTCTCACCAACCATTCCAAACTAAAACAAATAAGGAGGTGAAAAAAACCAGTCCTTTCTCAGTTCCCTTCCTTAGTGGTATCTGTGACAGACAATGACAGATAATAAAATTCAGGTAGTTCAAATGTTAGGTGAAAGTTGAGTGGGTTTAAACCCCAGGAAGGTAAGTGACTCACAGACGAGTTGTCACAGACATCACAAGGTCACTATTGCATCCTCCAGCTCACCCTTCCAAAGATTTTGTTTCTGCCCAAATCAACTCCTGCCCTCAGGGGACTCATCCCTCAGAGGGGCTGCAGAGGAGTCCCGGGTGCTCCAAGTCTGGATAAGTGTAATACAATTTTACTCCAATTTAAAGCTGTATAGTAGCAATACAGACTGTTTACTGCATTTACACCTCGACAATAACCACCACAGTGATAATCATTCTGCAGCTGTGCACAAGAGATGAGCTGAGTCAAGGAAATGTCAGATGGAAAATACCTGTGGTCAGAAAAAAGGTCAGTAGTTTTCTCTGCAATCCCATCTCAAATGAAAGTGAATTTACTGTTTTATGTCACATCGTAGATTCTAAACAAGTCAGCAAAGAGAAGCAGAGATGAGAGGTCCTTTCATTGCTCACTGCACATGGCCATGCTCACCAGGCAGCACCACTCTTCCCATAATCATTGTGATGTGACATCTTTATGGGCCATCAGACCTTCCCACCAGAACAATACAAAAACTGCTATTATGACTTGGAACTTCATGGACAGAGAGCTGAGCATCTGTCAGCTGCACTAAGTGCTGGGTTTTGGGTTGCACACAATGTGATGGGAGCCCCGTGCCTGTACAGAAACCTGCCACACAAGAGCCAGGCTGGGAGAGAAACACAGAGTCATTCTGGTTGGGAAAGACCTTTAAGATCCTCAAGTTAAACCATTAACCCAGCACTGCCAGGTCCACCACTAAACCACGTGTGATCCATGATTAGGGCTCAGATGAAGATATTCCTATGGGACTACACAGGAACCATCATTCCTGAGACACAGGGACAGTCGGTGAGAAACAGCAGCACAATTCCTATCTCCTGTTTACAGACTGCTGAGTAATGCAGCATTTAATAATGCAGTCAGTGCTCCTCCATGCTGAGTCTCTTTGAGTTACTGGAAAAGCATTGGATTCTCCTCCCACTTCCATGGTCTCTCTCTAAGTCAAGGATGGAGGGTTTGTTTCAGGTCTGCTCAAAGCATGGGCTTAGCACTCTGCTTTCTCACACAGCTTTCACTGTGTCACCTCTGTCACATGCCACATGATGCCCAAAACCTGAGCTCTGTTCCATGCCTGCCATCCACCTGCCCTACAGTCCTACCAAAACCCAACATACGGCCACAGCTCAGCCCCTCACTCCACCTTTTTTTCTGTCCTGCTCTCTCATGTTCTCTCACTAATGTTACCAGATTCCAGCCTTCAGCACCATTCCTCTGCATCTTGCCACGGGATGAAAAGCAGCTCCTGCCCCTGCAGGGCCCAGGACAACTGGCCTTGCAGCTACCCTGTCTACCCACCTACCCTCCCTCATTTCAGCCCCTTCCCCCAAGTCCTACTTTTGCTCTGAGGCTTGGAAGCCACGAGTTCTATATTAAAACAATTTTGAAGGAGTCAGTACTGTGTATGCAAACAGCATCCAGAGAACACGTGTCTTTTTTCAGTCTCTGTCAGAACCCAAGTATTTTGTAGCAGAAGCCACCTTCTCTCCCTTCCAGCAAGTGCCAGTGCCTTGGAGTGCCAGCCTCATACACTGATGCCAGTTGCCTCTGGCATCATTTGCAGCCTTCAGGACAAGGTTTTGCAATCCAACAGAAGAAATGGACAGGAAACAGGTTCCCAACAAGTTCCGGCTGGGTTCACAGCAAAGCATGAGCAGCAGATAGCTGTCCTTCAAAGAACACTGTGCTTTAAACAATTATGTCAGTAGGCAGACGTCCTAGTGATGGACATGCTATTTACAAAATCAAAATTCTTCTAGGCTTACATGATGTGCCAGCTAAACACAGTGTACACAGCTCCGTGACTTATGGCCTCTTCTGCCAAGGAAAAGCAGAAGTTTATTAACTGGGAAGGAAAAAGAGGCAAAAAAAGACAAACAGCGTTGCACGTGGTGACATCCCCGCAGTGCCGAGACCGGAGCGCGGTGGGTGCGGGCGGGCGTCGACATCCAGCGGCCACGGAGCGGCTCGGCAGCCTCGGCACGGCCCCTGATCGGGACGGGCACGGCCCCCGAGCCGGGACGGGCACGGCTAATTTCTTATCAGCTCCAAACGCAGTAAGGTAAGGCTGAAACTTTCAAAGCTAAGTCTTCTCTCAGAAAGAAGTCAGCAGCTTTTTTGCTTCTGCCCTCTCTTATATCTCTTGTGCCTGCTGTGCAAACACTGACCTCACCTACGACAGTGCTTTATTCCCACCCGGCATTCTTCCCCTCAGGGCAAAGTGTGAGAAAGATGCAGTCAGAGGATGCCCTGCAAATGACCCAGACAGACCTTCATAAAAACGTCTGGTACTCCAAACTGGGGAGCACGGCTTGAAGAGCTCTCAAGCAACCAAAGCAGCATGTTTTCAAGTCAACCCAACTTCAAATCATAAAGTACCATAAAACAAAGGCAATAATGGCAGACAACCTGCAGTGAGAACAGAATAATAATTTTCAGAAGTCTCCCTATCAACACTGCCTTTTGAAAAGAGTCTATTACTACAATTGTAGCTGGAAGTCAGAAAAACTTCTGGAATAAACAGGAAGAATGAAAAAAAAAAAGATACAAATACACCTGCAACAGCACAGAACCACATCATTCAACTCCAAAAGCAAATGAATACAAAAAGCCAGCACCCAAAGGACAGAGAATATCACACCCTACCTGTTCAAAAACACAGCACACCTGTGTGCTGAACTCCTGATGGCACCTGGGCATTCAAGGGTTAAGAACTTTTAGGGACTTGTCCTGCCTGCTGTTACAGTTCTCCTTCCTCCATTTCTCTCTCAATACCAGAAAAGGGTATTGGAAACACAAAGAAAACTCTGGCAACTGTTCTACTCCTTCCTACCTGCTCTGAGCTCCAGTTTGTTGCCAGGTCTGTCTCTCTGGAGATGCTTCCAGCGCTGTCATTCCCCCAAAACTACATTCTGTTTGTTTAATGCAAAGCCATTAAAATGCTGATTGGCAGTTATGACACAGAATGTCTGTGCAAAGAGGGTCCTGAACCCTGACCATCAATGGCTGAGCTCACAGCCACCAACAAAACACAGGGGGAGCCACAAAACAAGCCACTCTGCACTCAAATTTTTAAAGTATTAACATAAGCAGCTATGACAGATCCACTTGTATTTCCCACTTTCAAATTTTACTCCAACAGTGTATTATTGAAGTTGGATATTTCTTCTTTTTCCAAAACATTTCCCAAGGAAATTCAGGAGTTTGGCATTATACACAGACCCAGTAATATTATCATCTGCACTGTGCACACACAAAAAGGATTTAAAAATGCTAAAGATTTCTGATTAAATTTCATGGTCACTGGAAATGGTTTTAGGAGCACAGGCAAAAATATCAAAAATCCCAAGAATATGTAGTTTTAGAATATTTTTCTATATTAATAACCTAGTAAGTTAACACTTGCTACAATATATGCAAAAGTTGTCATCAAGCAATCTGGAATTTTACTTGGCATCACCCAAAAAAACAAACCTGTCTAGATCATTTCTCCTGAATGAGGTTTGCAGTACACTGAAGAATACAGTTACAACAGCAAAGAGCTGTTGTCTCCTAATAAACCAACTGTCAGCTGTAAAGAAAAAAATATACCAACAAAATATCTATCAAATACACACACACAATTCACATAAATAAAAATGGTTTATAGATTACAAATTGAGAGAAGATTGCAGCCATTACCTCTTGGTTATCCTTACTCTGATTTGCCCAGAAGATCTTATGATAAAGTGTCTCCATGGAATTGCTGGAATCTGACCTGTCAAAACAATGCCGATCCAACACTTCCAAGGTGTGCAGGACCCGGCTGATGATCACCCCTGGAGACAGGAGTCAGAGAGGAGGGGAAAACAAAAAGGTTCACATTAGAAGACACTGCATTACATTCACCTGCCAACCTATTGCTGGGATTAATCACAGTGCAACAGGATTAGACCCAAGGAAGAACAGCTGTAAACCCCAAAGCTCCCAGCGTTTGTTTGGAGTTCTCTCACCTGCAGTTGACTCTTGGCACTTGTCAAACGACCACCTCACCTCCACAGCACGGCCTCTCTGCTTTATCTGCTGTTCCACTTCATAAACCTTTGCCCGAACCTGCAATGAGTAGAGCTCCTCATTAGCTGCTGGGAGGAAGGGTCAATGTTCGTGTCATGCCTGTGACAGCCTTCTCAGCAGGGGCAAGGGACCCTACAGTGTTCCACAACACCCCCTACATTTGGGAACAACAAACTGAAGAAGGTTCTGTTCAAATTGTCTTGTCTGCTAAGAATCACCTTGTACAATAAAACATCTCTTCCTTCCATTCCACCCAGCAAAACTTAACTTTCAACATGTCTGAAAAGTCACATCTCCCAAAACATACATCAAGCTTCCTCTTATTTTTCATATTACATCTTAAAATAATTTCAGTTTAATAACAGAAAACATTGGAACATAAATAAAAGTCCTGATACTTTCCCAAAATCAGTCCCAGAATGAAGATCAAACATCAGCACAGCACTTGCCTTGACAATAGGCCTATGGAAATATCCAAACTTGGCTGCAGTCCTAATGACTACAAATCATTACTGGGATATAAACCAGACCTTAATAATCTGGCAAGAAAAAGAGTTTACCTGCTGATTAAATGCCGAATTTCCACCTGGCATAGGTAAACTGGATGGAGCAACTTGAAGTAAATCCAGAGGTGAGCCTGGATTAACGTTCTTATTTTCATTTGTGGAATAATTCCACACCAAGGCACTTGGGCAACAAAGAGTTACAGTCTGCAAGCAATAGTACAAAACAGAAGTAATTCCTTTTTCTAAACACATGTAATAGACAAAAACAACAATAAGAGTCCAGAATCCTTTTTGGTCCAACTGCTACAGTGAAAGAAACAAGACGACAGGCTTATGCACAACTACATTTGAGGAAATTCAACTACTGTTTTATTTTCCTCCTTTGTTATTAAAAAAATTACTTAATTATACACATGTTCAATTCCCATTTGTATTGCTTTCATAACACCATCAAAGAACATCACCAAAGGTTAGTTTCAGCCAGATCCTGTCTGTGGAATATGAAGGGACTTTACAAAAAAATAAGTCATTTGGTGTTCAGCTTACAGAAAAAAGCTAGATATGAAAAATTAAAATTTAAGAGATTAATTAAAATCAACTCTTAGTCAAGACTTTAAAGCATGAAGGAGTCACTGAAATGTCCAGATTCCAGTGCGTGGAAATGCTGACACAGAAACCCTGGAACTACCAGACAGACTACTTTGGCATTGCAGCCACGGTGGCCTGCAGTGGCACCAAGGGACGGGCTGAAAGCAGCTCTGACCTCCTCGTAGGTCAGAGCTCACAGGAGTCAGTGCTGCCTCTGCCCAGCCATGCTCAGCAGGCACAGGGGGTGGCAGGACCACGCGGGTTCACAGGTGACAAGAGTAGGATGAGATGCACAGAGCAGAAACCCTCCATCCCAGAGGGAAGGCCTGGCCATCCCTGGCAGGGGAGCAGCTCCTTCCCTCAGCAGAGGTGCAGACACACATTTGGCTCCACGAGCTTCTCCAGGGGGTTCCTCCATCGCACCTCAGCAGAGACACCCCCCCATCCCACTGCCCCCACACCCCTCAGTGGGCACAGGCACATTTCAAACCACAGCAAGCACACCTTGTCCCACTCAAACCCCAGTGTTTTCCAACAAGCAAAATGGTTACACCCCTGAAAGCAGAGAGCAGCAGAGCACTGTCCTACCTGCAGCACGCAGCTGAGCCCGTACACCAGGGCACGGTGCTGGGGGCAGGCCAGGAGGTCGGAGCAGGGCAGCTGTGCCAGCCCCACCCCAGGGCCAGGGGTGCTCGGGCTGGGCACGGCCAGGGCAGGGGTACTTGGTCCAAGGATCAGATGAGGGGAGTGGGCAGCTACAGGGCTGGGCCCATCACTGAGCAACAAGGACAGGCGTCTGGCACAGAAATAAGCCAGGCGACGGGACAGGTAAGCTGACTGAACAAACTCTTCTGAATACTGAAATTTAAAAAAATGCACAGTTTATTACACTCCATATATCCATTTCCCTTAACAATCTAACAGTGGACATGCACAAACTGGAAAGAAACACCTCCAATATTTAGGACACCAAAAGTTGTAAAAGAAAAGAGCAGCTCATATGCAAATTTGTACTTCTGTCTCTTAAAAATTCCATCTGCCCTCCAGGACCAGTCACAGTAAGAGAACCCTTCTGCCAAATCGAGTCAGGGATTATAAAGCACGAACATCTTAAAGGTGTTTATAAACTCCAAACATGCACCATTCAATATATTTTGTCTAATGTCCTAAGTAAAAATGTTTAAGTAGATTTTACCACCACAAATATTAAAACCATTTAACAGGTATGAATCACGCTGACATTGATTTTGGCTTTAAAACGTGCATGTACCTGCAACATCAGCGGCAACAACAGCTTCAGAAGATCATCATCCGTGGGCCTGATTTTTTCTAAAACATCCAGTATCCACGTCAAATACTCGTGTCTCTCGAGCATTCCTTCCTTAAAGGATTGCCAATAACACATCACATATTAGCTGGGAGCACTCAACACACAGGGGTGTAATCCCACAGTTTATTTCACTGTGGTTTAGCCCTCGTTACCCCTGTCAGCACAGGGGTAACACACCAATTCCCTCAACCTGCTACAGCCCTGGAGCCAACCACCCCCATGGCAGTGCCACAGGCAGGGCAGCACCTGGGTACAGCCCCCTGCTCTGCACAGCTCCAGCTCAGCAGGCAGCTGACAGGTAACCCCGACAGGTAACCCCGACAGGTAACCCCCTCCCAGCAACCCTCCTGCATCTTCTGTGCTGGGGCAGAAACAACCAGAGAGTTCTGCTGGGCTGGAACTGCGTGGAACCCACAGACAGACACCACTCCAACACCCAAGGCCTCGTGCCACAGCGGCCTCAGCCTGATCCACAACCACTAAAAACACCCTTAAAAAGATGGGATAATACAGAAGAGGGAATAACTGAGTGTACTACTGCAATTGCAATCAGGCACACTGAGAAAAATCAGAGCTTTTTCAGCCAGCAAATCTCTAAAGGAATTAGCATTTACAATTTATGCAAGACTCATGACAAAAGCTACCACTGAGTCCTAAAATTGAACTTTCCAAGAATAGTAACCTTAAAAAAAAAAAAAAATCCATGCACTCCTAAAAGTATTACCTGAAACATATAAAATGACAATTTTTCATTGTATTCCCAGTGCTTCAGGGCTTGTTCCATCTCTGGAGGCATCACAACAGAGCCGTTGCCTTGGCTCAAAGTCCCATGATAGAACTCAGCAACCTTTGCCAGCTGCTCTCGGAGGTATTTGGTTACAATTTGAGTCCATTCTACAAAATAAGTTTGCAATTAGAACACTCCAAGTGATAGAAGGTTCCTTTCACAGTGAGACTCAAAGCAAAGTTGCACTGTCTTTGTCATCACAAACGTTCCCCCCGAGGTGCATAGTGCTGCACCTGTGGTGAATTCAAGGCTGTCTCCCTGTGCCCCTGCCCTCAGAGCACAGGTGCTCTCAGGTGTGCAAGCAGCCTGCACTGACACAGGGGGGCCTTTGGGGAACCACCTGTCAGTCTCATCAGGTTTCAGCATTCAGCCACAAAACAGCCTGGAAATAGATAAAACAAATGTACTGCACTACTTCCTTCCACTGGGGAAGGGCTTTACTGCCCTCCCTCTTCCCCCTCCAAACAGAGCCAACATAAAACTCAATGGGATTTTGCACAAGCAGTGGAATATAAAGCTATTCCTTCTATAACCACTCAAACTGCCAACTCTTCCAGGTTTTCACTCTGATGGGGCTGCAGCAACTCAGAAGCAGTTTCTGCAGCAGGACAGAGCAGGTCTGCACAGCACAGTGAGAAAGGAAAAGAGGACTCGTGACAAAGGAATTCTCTCAGCAGCAACTGGAACAACCCAGGTATCTGTGAACGTCTCCGAGACGAACCCCTGGCAGAGCTGTGTGTATCAGGAGCAGAAGGTTACACAAGAGCAGCCTCTTTTCTGCCTCCATAACACAGTTGCTTTGACAACTGAGGCTGGTGACTGCCAGTTACAGGAACCACCACTCTCAAACACAACTGTTTTCACTGTTCACTGCTCACCTCAGACTCTGGCTAGTGCATTCCTCCTTCTTTCCTTTTACATTTGTAATTGGCAGCTCTGTCAACATATACAGACTATACATTGGAAGCTTTTCTACCCAAATCCACTGGAATTTCTGGATAAAGCTAGTGGGGTTCAGTGTTTTCACAGAGCAGTTTAACTACATTTCCATTAAACATTCACTTGCTTCTAGGAAAAAAAATTCAAATCCACTACTTCAAATGTATTTCATTTGAAATACAAAAAGCAATTACCAGTGTCTCTGTGCCACTGAGTTGGAAACAATGCAACCACCTTTCTGGTACCAGAGGCACAGATATAAAATACTCTGGGAACTGGCAAAGGCTGCTCAGTAACACACAGCAAACTACTTCCCACAAAGTTCTCAACAACCTTTGCAGAACAGGGAATTTGGACAGAGGATGGACACAGGCTGGGAAAGCCCCTGAGCCCACAGACACCTCCTGGCCCCACTGGCTGTGAGGAGGTGCCAGGGCAGGAGCACCTGCCAACCCCAGACACACACACACACACACAGGGCAGGAGCACCTGCCAACCCCAGACACACATACACACACAGCCGCCTGGAACCTTCCCGGGAAACAAATTCCCTCTAAAGAGCTGCTGTTCCCAGCCAGAGCTAAATAGGTATAGATTGATTTATCACAACAGAGTGGACAGCCTTCGCTTTCCCCACCTGGTCCTTACCCCCTCCCATCAGAAGGAGTCAGCAGGAAGAAGCAGACATTCCTCCCAGCAGTGCAGAGATGCAGCTAAACAGCACTGACAGGGTCAGTTCCGAACACAGTCGTTTCAAGGACAAAGAAGGAAAACGTTCATTCGTGTCAGCAGAGGAGTTGTAGGTATTGTGTGCAAATTGTGAGAGTAAAACTCCAACTCTGATAATAGTTGAAGTACCTCTGAACACCTTAAAGGTGGTCACTGCCTGGCCCACTGGTTTGGTGCCAGACAGTGTCCCTTAAGGGTGGTACTTAAAATAAATACATTGCCAGCTGTGTTCTAATAAATAAGCTTTGAAATTCACATTTCATTACAGGCTTTCTAAATTAGCAGTTCTGTTCCTTCCCAGGCAACGTTTATCTTGCACAGCCTGTGCCACTCCTGCCAGCCCCACAGTGACCAGTGTGGGTGCTGAAATACAGGTGCTGCACCTGGACATTTTGGGAGCAAACAGCTGGAAGCAGAAGCAGCCAACGCAGCTGTAGTTATGCTCCATGGCTCTTTGTACTCTGACACACATTTCTAAATGAAACTGATTTAAAAGCATTTGTATTTCAGTTCCCACCACAAACATTCCTCTCTGGACACCCAGTAACACCAAAGCTACAAACAAGAGGAGCTGTTATCATGCATGAAGACATTAAAGAAGTTTATTTACCAATATTTGGGTCAGTGGCCTGGCGTTTCTTGATTTTAGCTTCAGAAATAGCAGCATAGTAGGCACATGTCATTTTGATCAGCCATGCTGCTCGCAGCAGTGGCACAGAGTATTTTGCTAAGTAAGCAAAAACATCTTCTTTTCTACTGAGAATAGGAACCTGGAGGGAAAACAGGCAGCAAGTTACAGCACACAGTCCAACAGCAGCTGGCAGATCAGCCCAGGCCTCCTCTGCTCAACCCTGCACAGCCAGAACAACAAACCTCCTCAGCCCAGGAACCCGCTGCACCAACAACACCCACTGTCCAGGCACATGGCGACTAAGGGATTCACAAAAAAGAGACACTGCCCCACAGTACCCCAGGCTTCATCAGAAGCATCCTCCCCCTGCTCAGAGATGCCTACAGGGCCACAAGCAAACCTCTGAGAGCCATTGACATCCAAAGTGCAGGAACCATCCTGCAAGCTGATCCTCAGAACCTCTGAGGAACAGAGCTATAGCAAGGCTTTGTGTAAGGGTTCAATAAGATAAACATGCCTGAGATGAAATACAGTTATTCAAAGGAAGTTTATGTCAGCTAGATCAGAAGTTCCCCTTGCCCAGGTCCCCTCCTTGCAGAGAGGGAAAATGCTGCACAGCAGCAGCTCCTCCAGCACCACTCCTCATCCAGCACATTCCAAAATAGCGCCCTGTTCTTACAGCCCAATTCAGCACAATCTAATATCCAAGAAACAGAGGAAGGAGTATTCTGATACCTTTTTTCCTAAGAGAGTCAGGGGCTTGCTTCCTGCCAAATCTGTGAACCAGCTGTGAATGGCACTCTGGGATCGAGCAGTCACCAGCCAGTAGTTGTCTTTGGCATTTACTTGGGCTTTCTTCTTCCCCGTGTCCTGCAAAGTGTTCAGTTTGAGCTTTTCTGCGAGGATGCTGCTGAAGTAAGCGCCGATCTGGGGGTGTGGGAAAGCAAAACACCTGACAAGCCAGTAATTAAGTATCTACTGTACATTAATGCAGGAGGATTTCCAGCTGAAGGGATGCAGTGCTCACTCCAGGGCAGGCCAGCAGTCTGATGGGATCACGCTTTGCCTCCCTGCAGGGAGCAAAGGCAGGTTCAGGAGATCAAACCACACAACTGCATTGTCACTGGAGAGGCTGCAGGTCAGAAAACCAGCCAAAGGGCCCGGGGCTCAGTGACACCAGGGCTGAGCTGCCCCCTGGGACAGTCCCTGCGTGCCCAGAGCCACGTGCCTCCAGCCAACACGTGCCTCCAGCCAACACATACCTCCAGCCAACACGTGCCTGGGATCCAGGCCCCGGGTCAGTGGATTCTCAGAGCACGTTTCTCCCCTTCTGCCCTTTACCAGAGCACAAAGTGGGTAAATGCACACTTTTCACTTCTATTTAGATCAAACCACACTGTCACAGGAACCACATCCACCGTCTGTCCATCACCAGCTACAGCAGGCAAAGCTTCAAAGACTCAGGGAAGCTCAGAAGTGTCCAACTTTTATCCAAAGACCTCCACGGCCACTCAGCACCTCCACAAGGAGAAGCTCTGCAAGGTTTGCTTTCCCAGTACTCTCAATCACAAAACAGCATGAAAAAAACCCCAGAGGTTTTACTCCCATTGTAAGCTTATTCACTTGCAGAATGACTACAATAGGAATGAATGTTTAGGCCTGTCGGTCAGAATAAAATGCTTGATTTTCTAATAAATATATTCATAGTTGGGTAATTTTAAAATATACAGGAAGCTTCTGGGAGATACTGAACTTGTTTTGGTAATTGTACACGTAAATATCCAAGGACCTATAAGCACTTTCTTGTGAATTTCTGTTCTACTTTTCAAATAGTTCTATTCGATAGTAAAAACAAAAATAATTAATATAGAAGATAGAAAATGCCAGCAGGTAAATATTTGAGGGGGGAAAAAAAAAAAAAGACTCTGAAGAATGTAACAGGAAAACCTTAAAAATTTCAAAGCCAGCAACCCTGTCATTTACTTGCATCTCTTCTTCTACTAAAAGAGCATCACTAAATACATAATTTCATGTTTTCCAATAAGCTGTAAAAAGTTAGAGATTTTTCAGAATCAAATACCAGAAAATTACTTTGTCTGAAAACAAGTTTCTTGATTACATTCTCCCTCCAAACCCTTTCTTCCTGCTTTCCCAAAAGGGAAAAAAAAAAAAAAAAGAGTACATAAATCTGGACAGATCTCTAGAGGAAATACGGGACGGTTTCTTTCTAAACAGCTATTATTTTCAGTTTGGAGTACAGTAACTAATATTTTAGTGATTTTTATTGCGTTTGTGTATCTCACACTTCTTTGACTCTCAAAAAGAACCATGGGAGAGCTAAGCTAAGTTTCACTAAACAATCCAAGTCTATATTTCCAAGAGACCTGGAACACAGTGACCAGTTTGTCCTGGCAGAAAACAGTCTCATGAAACAGATACAAGACAGAGCTAAAGATGTGTAATTGTCAGAGACTTCCAGGGAAGGAGTCACTATTGTCTCTGTAAGCCAAGCAAATAAAAGAATAAGAGCAAAAATTAATGTCTCTTGTGCATTGAAATGTGCTTATCACATTTCGTCCCTGGCATCCATGTTTTCCTGTGAAGACTGATGGCAGCAGGCAGCAGAAGCACAGCTCAGCATTCTGATATTCATTGTGTAATTAACTTTCCTATCAAGATTTCTGACTAGAAAGCCAAGCATTCAAGACCCAGGTACCACCGCTGCCAGCTTGGTTCCAGTTTCAGCAAGTGCACCCAGACTGCAAAGCCCTGTCTTACCTTTGAGGCGTTGATGACAATATTCCTGGCAGACCCATGCTCATCTCCAGGGAAGGTGGGCTGGTTGCTGAAGCCTTGCTTTACGTTCACTGCCGTGAGCTCATCCTGCAAAGGGTGTTGGAAGCGCAAAAGATGAAACGACAATTTAAGAAGTCTCATTATTCTGAAAAGCATGTTTTTATAAGAAAATGTTTTGCGCTTGCTGGTACATCACACTCTGCATTCACTGATCCCTCAGAGCCCTCTGCACACTCCCAGGATTTTGGTGAAGAGAACGTGATGCCACTGCTGCCACACTGTCCCCCTCGGGTGTTCACCTCACTTGAGGTGAGGCTTGAGGCCATCACTTCATGGGTGCTGCTGGTTTTGCTGACAGATTTCTGCCCAGGAGAAGGGCCCAGGAAACAAGACCTTGGCAGCCTCTGTAAAACCTGGAGCAGTGCCCAGCACCCAGCCTGAAATCTTCCTCATGGAAGTGGTGCCAGTCCACAGCCCCCTGAGCAGCAGTGGGAGAGCAGCACACCTTTCTCTCCTGAGATACCCTGGGAAGCAGCTGTGTCACTCCACAGCAGAATGCTGCTGTGTGCCCCTTCTTTCACCCAGAATCCACAAGTCCATTCCCCAACACAAAAACAGGTTTGTATCATTGTTTTGTTGATGTTTAAAACTATTCTGGTTTGCGGACCCATGACCCCCATTTGAGAACATCTACTGAAATAGGAACGAGATCACCTGTAGCAAAAGCAATGTCAGCTGAACATCCACCACTGCTGCAACTAAACCCTTTTCTTCTGGAGCTACTTCTGCAGTGGAAGCATTACTAGTCTCCTACCACACTATCAGCTTCCCTTCGCTTTGCTGCTGATTGATGCTTCAGCAGGCTTGGCTGGGTCTGTTCACAGCAGGGACACAGAACAGGCAGGTGTAGGGTCAGCAGCATCAGGCACAAACACACACCCCAGTCTTCACAGACTTCCTCAGGGAGCCCCATCCTTCCCTGTCTTCACTCTATACCTCCACCCAAGTTAATATTCTTCCATGGAGGCTGTGCCATTTGTTCAATAATTCAGGATCACCTGCCTGTCAGACAGAGGTTTTCCTACACCAGATGAATGGGAACTTGTTGGATTTTCCTAATCTCCCCCTGAAGAGAAGACACAGATCTCCCCAAGGAAGCAGTTACCTGCCACCACAGGCAGTAACCACAGGAACCCTACACAAGCTCAGGTGGTCCACCAATAGTGAGCTATTGGAACAACCCCTGAGATGGCTGTGAAATAACCTACAAAAGCAAAGAGTGACTGTGCTGAGACCAAGCAAAGAATCGAAAATAAAGTTAAGAATGTCACCATTTTACTAGAAGATTTTATTTCTAGTTTTGGGCAACATGTCTCCCAAAAACAGTGACCCAGAAGCTTCCATTTGGTTTCTTCTCTTACGCTTTGTCACGCATTATGCTTTTCAGTATTTTTCCAAAGTTTGAGAGCAACACAGCAGATTGAAACATATTTAGAAGAACTCTAAGCTCTCCAGGATTTTTGAACTTAGCAAACCTCATCTTAATTTTAAATGAAATCAACCAGAATTGCTGGAACACTCCTCCACCCACACTATCCCCAGACATCCCTGAAAACACAGACTCAGGGAGAGCTGAAAGTGATCAAAGAGATTATAAGCAAATAAATAAAAGGTAAATGGCAAACAGATGGAGACATACGTTACTATTAGTGCCATTTCCAGGGCTGACCCTCATTCTGTTATCTTTAAACTTCCTCTTTCAAACAAGCTGTCTAGATAGCATTATGCTGAAAATAACCAAGAACAATCTGTTGTGCTGCTGCATCTACCACCACTGTGGGAACAAGTTGTGAGGGGCTGACAACACAAACACATCAGTGTTTGGTTTGTCTGGCTCAGTCACCAGCTCAGGTTTCCCCTACTGCTTCAGCAGCAGAGCTTGGGGCATGGCACAGCTGTGTAACCAAGCATCACCTGAAAATGAAGACAAGTCCCCTTCGAACACAAGGCACAGAGACACCTTTACAAAGAAATTAATGATAAAATGGGTGTTCGCAGGAGCTCTCGTTACATCTCACACCAGCTCCAGTATCAGCTCAGATCATTCTCCAGACCACGGCTGTTCCATGGCAGAGGGAAGCTCCTGGCACAGCAGCAGGAACACTGGCACAGCTCAGCTGTACACACTGATCCTACGAGGGTCAAGCCCACTTGACTTGGCCCTGTGCTAAGCAGAGGCACAGCAGCACCACACGCTGCTGTCACACACGCTGGTTCCTCGGGCTCCTGCAGGGACCAGGAGCTGCCTTTCCAAATGTCAAGCAGGGCCCCAGGTGCCCCAAGTCAAGGCTTAAAACCTTTCTGCAATTTTCAACAGCCAAGTGAACATTCAGGCCCAACTCGCATTAATTTTTTTCAGAAAGAATTTTACTTGTTTTGTGGGGGATATGCAAGCCCCACACACAGCCTGGTGTGAACACAACATGTACAGATGGGATCTGTAGAGAAGGGCAGCCCGACAAGCTCAGGACAAAGTTCCCAGGAGCAGAGCAGCGCCAGCTCCACAAGCAGCAGACCCTGATGGCAGCCTGCTCGTGGTCCTTAGCTCTGAGCACTGCTCTGAGCAGGACACCTGTGGTACTTACAAGGAGGTCACCTGTGGCACTTACCCAGCCAGCTGCATCAGTGCACTCAGATCCACATGAGAAGAAATGGGCACAGTGTTACAACAGAGCACCATGGTGTTATTGTTGGGTGTTCTGGATTGTCTAAGTCCATATTCATTTGCTTTTAATTAATACGAACAAGCTCTTTCAGCTGAAGCATTCTCCTGCTTCCCCATGTCTGCAGTAACACTTGCTCGCTGCAGCACCAGGCCACTGAGATAAAGGCAGGGAGCTGAGGATGTGTCAAGGTTCTGAAAAACTGGGAACTGGCCAGTTCATTCTGACATCTGAGCTGGGCAAACAGACAATGTGCAGAGTTATACCACCACTACCTGAATCTCTGACAGATGTGCCTTTTCTTCCCAACCTCAAAAATATTCTTTCAGAATAGAACTGTAAAAGAAGTCCACATTAAACTCACCAACACGGGTGCAATGAAGACTTTCCCCCAAGCTACATCTCAACAATCCCACCATGGCCAACAACAGCAAGCCTACTGCAGTTATTTTCTGTTTATTAATGCACCCATGAAACCTATTTTAAATATTAACCATTTGGGCACTTGCCACTTTCATTGTTATTGTAATGGGCTGCATATTTATAAACGTGTCTGCAAGAATCAATCCACCACCTGACAAAAAACATTCAACAGTTCAGAGCTAAAAATTCACCTCCAGACATTGTCATAGCCGAGTCCAGATGCAGTTCTGCAAGCCTGGCCAGGATCATGCATAAAAATCACACTTAGAGGAATATTTCCAGTTACTGTTACCATCAAGGTTGTAAGTATGATGCATGGTGGCACAAGAGTGATGAGACAGAAAGATGCCAGAGGTCACAAACACTGAGGTATGTCTCCAAGGATCAGCAACAGACTTGAATCCACATCTTCTACTGCCTGTTGTCCAAGCCCCTCTCAGCCAGCACTGACCAACAGTGTGGCTTTGATGAGCGCTCTCCAGCCTATGTAAACCAGATGATGATGCTCATAAACCGCTAACAAATTACGCTAATTAGCCTCCATGCTGGAAGCTTCATCAACACGACAACAGACCAGGGAGAGAGCGGAGCACAAAGAGGGCTGCATGGCTGCCTTGCTGTACTTGCTCCATTTAACCAGAGCTCATCCTCACTGCCAGCCTGATGACTTCCACGAGTACCAAATTCACTGGGAACACCAGCACAGGAGACTCCAGAGGTCAGGGGTACCTGCACACACAGCTTTGCGTACAAGCCACAACACAACACGCAAGGCCGATCTCAGAGAGACCCACTGACTTTACTGGGAGACATCCCACTCACAAAACGTTCCCAGAGGCTCCTTCCACCCCCCTGTGGAGGGTAAGCGGCTGGGAAGCAAGACTGGGAAGCCAAGCTGAGGACAGCAGTGCCCTGTGGGGCTTTGCTGGATCAGCAAGCCACATCACAGCACCCACCTGAGCTACACGCTTGCCCCAGCTCCAGTGACAGCAGGTCTCCGTGGGTTTGGTTGTGGTACCCGTGAGCAGGACAGCCACAGCCTCATGGAAGAGGACAACCTACAGCCCCACTCACCTCCACCCTGTTTTCAGATGCATTTCCCAACCTCCAACACCTTCCAGCCCTTTTATTCCTCTGACGGTGGGTCACTGCTGTTAGGTCAGACACACCGTGGGCAGCTCAGCAGGACCACGCTCGCTCTGGCCACCAGCACCCCCCTCCCTCCGGGCCAGGGATGCCCTTCACGGGCAGAGGGTGCCTCCCATGCAGATGCCGGTACCCTCACGGGCCAGAGGTGCCCCTCACTGCCACGGCTCCGACACCCTCCCCGCCGCCCCAGAGGCGAGCCCGGTGCCGCGGCAGCGATGCGGTGACCGGGGGCGGTGAGCGGTGACCGGGGGCGGTGAGCGGTGACCGGGGGCGGTGAGCGGTGACCGGGGGCGGTGAGCGGGGCGGCCGCCCCCGCCTCGCCGCAGAAAATGCAAGTCAGCGGCGGCTCGGCGGCCGCAGGCGCCGCTCAAAAGTTTGGGGGGAGGCGCCGGGCCGGGAGCCGCGGGCGGGGGTCCCGCCGGTCTCACCTCCTTCTGGCGCGGGTCCTGCGGGTAAACGTCGGGCGGCCCGAGGCGCGGGCGCTTGAGCGGGCGATGCTCGTAGCTGAGGAGCCCGAAGGCGGCCATCATCGCTCATGTTCGCGGGCCCCGAGCGCCGGGAGCAGCGTGGGCGGCCCCCCGGCTCACCCCGCGCCGGGGGCGGGCTGCGGGGCCGGGCGGGGGCGGCGCGGCTCGGCCCACCCGCTCCGCATCTCCCGCGCCAGGTGCCGGCCGGGCCGCCCCCGCACCGCGCCGGGGCTGGGCTGGGCTCGGCGGCTGCGGGGGGACCCCCGGCTGCCCCCGGGCCGGCGGGGCCGAGGCGCTGGGGCAGCGCCCGGGGAGCGGAGCGGGGCGGCCGAGCAGCCGCAGGGACGCGGCATCCGCACCCTGTCGCCTCCCCCATCTTTAGCATCTTCGTTGTAGCGGAGAAACCAATTCCTCGAGGCGGCGACCGCCCGCCCGTCACACCGCCCCGCAGTCCCCGCGCTCCGGGGGCACGTTCCGCCGCTGGGCTCCCGGCAGCAGCGCCCGGTCCCGGTCCCGGTCCGAGCCGCCCTCCGCAGCTCCCGGCTGGGGAGGGGGAGCAGCAGAGACCCCACTTCCCGGGTGAAGTCTCAGCGCCCTGAGGCCGAGCGAAGGAGCGAGGGCATTCTCCCTCTGTTCCCTGCTCGGGGGCTGAGGGATCCCGACCCGCTCCCGGAGCTACCGAAGGGCTGTGGGGACGCGCGGTGCTGCTCCGGCAGCAGTGACCGCATCCCCGGGGGCTGCAGCCTCGGCTGGCCCTGGCTGAGTCCCTCCGGCCCCGGCCTTGCAGCTGCCACTGGGCACGCTGCTCATCCCGAAGGATGCTCCCAGGGGCCCATCTGTACCACCCGAGTGGATCCACTGATCCCAGCGGATGGGGCAAGCAGGACAGGAGACGCGATGTCAACAGAAGTGCAGTTTCTGATTAATGAATCTTCGAAACACAAGCAATACAACATGAAAGCGTCAGGGCACCCTTTTCCAGCGTCAGTGGATGTGCCACACCTGCCCACCTTCCTGGCGGGGCTGCAGCTGCGACTACAGCCTGCGCCCGACCCGTGCCCTGCTCCACAGAACACCTTCCCGCCGCTCAGTAGAGCTGTCCTCTCCGCAGGTGCTGGAGCGGTGGGTGCATTCCTCTATCAGCCTTACAGTAAGAAAGCACGAGAACTTTTCCCCTTTCTACCTAGTACTTGTGCCAGATCCTCCCTTTGTGCTACATCTCCCGAACAGCACGAACACAAGGTTCTTTGGAAATACAAGATTAGACAGTGGGTTGCAAATAAGTCTAAATAAAATTAACAGCCATACTCTCCAAATGAGCTTATGTAGTATAGACAAGAACAGGCAAACCACACGTTTTAAAAGCTGAGGTTGAACTAGACAATACCAATAGTCATACAATACCAGTATGGTACTGGCCTACAACTGTCTCATATTTGTTAACACATCTTCTACTACATCTTTGGTTACTGAATTACTTTCACACATGCAGCTGTGTTTGCCAAAGGCAAGGACTAACAAATCTGATTCCTCTAAATAGGCATTAGCTTAAAAAAAAAAAAAAAAAAGCACTAAGTTGATCTGGTTGAGAAAAAAACCAAAACCTGTTTGCTGAAGTCCCTGGCAGTCAGTAGATGGATGCAGACAGTGCCTCTGGCCCTCACTAAGCCTCCAAGTTAGCCACACTTCAAGGGATGGGTTATGTTATGCTATGACTTAGCTTGTGTGAAGAGCAACCAGATACTACAGAGGGGCCTCCTGGCTGGGCAATACATCAGGAACAGCAAAAGAGAAATATACCCAAAAGAGGAAAAGAAAAAAACAAACAAACAAACAAACAAACAAACAAAAAACACAGCACAGCTGGCTTTAGAAAAAAACCTGGAAAAATAAACCTTTTGAGAACTTCCATTATGGAGAGCAGATAATCAGATGCACCAGGGAAGCTGTCTCTGAACCCCCCGCTCCCGCGGGGGCTGGGACAAGCAGAGCACTCTTCAAATTACAGAGATCAGTCATCCTAAACCCTCGCTATCAAGTGACAGGAGACGCACTGAAACTCTCCGCAAAGCTGTACGGAAGGGGACGGGGAAAAAGAATCTTTACAGCGTTCTCCAGTCAGTGCCTGCCTGTGGCTGGGCTCTGGGGCTCCGGAGAGGCTGCAGCTCTCCGGGCAGGGCTGGCCGGGCGCGGGGGCTCTCTCGGGGCAGGGCTGGCCGGGTGCCCGGGGCTCTGCAGCTCCGCGGCTGAGGAGCTCGGCACCGCCTCTGCCAGAGCCGCGTCCCCGGCGGTGCCCGGTGCCACCATGCCAGCCCCGCAGAAGAAGCTGATCTTCTGCACGGCCGGGGTGCTGAGCCTCGCCTGCGCGCTGGGCACGGCGGCGGCCGTGGGCACCCAGCTCTGGGTGAGGGGCACGACCCTCTGCACCACGGGAGCGCTGCTCGTCAACGCCACCGGCCCGGAGCTGCACAAGTTCATCGGCGAGATCCAGTACGGGCTCTTCTCCGGGCAGCGTGTGCGGCAGTGCGGGCTCGGGGGGAGACCCTTTCAGTTCTCATGTGAGTAGCGATGGCGTTCGGGTTATTTACAGCGCGCTGCTGACAGCGGGGCGGCGGGACAGGGCTGCCCGCACGGGACAGGGCTGCCCGCACGGGACAGGGCTGCCCGCACGGGACAGGGCTGCCCGCACGGGACAGGGCTGCCCGCACGGGACAGGGCTCGGACACCGAGCCCAGCAACACGGGACGTGCCAGAGCAACGCTGCCCTTACAGTGCTCTGGTCCTCAGAATCAAGTAACTTATTTTCTGATGCTAGTAAAGCCTGGCTAATGTCTTCAAGAATCTACATTGCAGTTACACAGATATCCACATTTCAAAATATTTTATACTGTTACTTTAGAAAGAAAGAATATTTTGGGGTTTTAATTAACCCCTGCCATCTTTTTCTGCGTCAACATTACACCCTCTGTGCTGTCAAGAAGAATGAACTAAACCAGCAGGGATCTAATGAACGAGCTGGGGCACCGGCTGCTCTCGAGAAACAAAGCAGCCCAAAAGTTCTCAATCTGCAGCACTAATTGGAAGGGCTGGGGGAGGCCGGCTGACTGGGTACCTGACACAGAATGTCAAAGCATTAGCAATGGCTTTGCTTTACATTCAAAATCTATTTGTCTTCAAGGATAAGATCAATAAAATGATCAAGTGAGACATTTGTATCCAGCAGCACGCGGAACAAGCGGTAAGGAACAGCCCATTGTGTGTGCACAATGTGTCAGCCGAAGTTACTCCAGCAGACAGCTTATGAGCTTCTGCCACAACAGCACTGGCAAATGGCTCACGCCAGTGATTGAATGCAAGGGAAGGCTACCAGATTAGGTACCAGAAATTATTTACTCCATAACAGTTTCCCCAAGTAGTGACCAAGTTAATTTTATATTATATTAAGATTTGCTGTCTCTAAATTCCATCACTACTCTGTTTACACAGCTGAAATTCCTCCTCAGTCACTTTGTGTGCCATCACCGCGTGCAGACATTTCACCCTGAGTGAATTTTCAGAGAGGTTTATCCAATCCCAAGGGATTGGGAGACTGTTGTGACCCAGGGCTGGCCCAGCCACCAGCAGCACGGGAGCTGACATTCATCAGGGCTCAGTCAGTGACAGCTGGAAGGGGACAACCTGCAGCCGAGGCAGGAGCCTTTACCTCAGAGAGCACTTAGTGCAACAGGCTGATCCCGCTCCCTGGGGCTGGAGCAGCCCCATCCCATCGCATCAGTGCCCCAGGAGCTCGGCAGGAGCACTCCAGAAAGCAGGACAAACACACACAATACATAGCCATAGCTTAATGCACTCACTGCACTTAAGCATGTCTGAGATCAGAAAATAGGCTAAATGATTTAGTTCCATGCTTGTTCCCATTAAATGCTCCCCTCTGACCACTATATCTCTTTTAATTATAATATGAATTTGCTCTGCCAGCAAACCCAGTTCAGATGGGGAAAGCTTCTGCTCCATTTGTTCCTGCTCATTCCCATCAGTTTCTGGGTCAGCAGTTCATTTTCTAAAGGTTGCTGCCACACACAGGTTCATACAGTGTTTTCCTTTCAAGACAACATTGCTGCTAGAATTAATTTTTCCTGGTATGTCACACATAAAATTTCAATGACAAACAGCTGTAGATGCAGGTGCCATGGGAAGGATTCCATACCATGCCATAAATTGTTTTCTTAAAATAAACAATACAAAATTGTATTATTAAATCCACAGTTCTGCGTGTTTTCCCCAAACATAAGTAGTATCACAGAACTAATGCTATTCCTTGTAGGAAACCTGCACAGGGAGGCCCTGGAAGGGGCTCTCAGGTCTCCCTGGAGCCTTCTCTTCTCCAGGGGAACACCCCCAGCTCTCCCAGCCCGGCTCCAGAGCAGAGGGGCTCCAGCTGTGGAGCAGTTTGCTGGTAAAGGCTTTACAAGGAGAAGTAATTGATGTGAGGCATTATTACCTCCATGGATCAGGAGCAGTAAAGTGTATTTCACTGTTCCTTCCACAATACTTGTTGTTGCCAAACAAACAGGAATGATTAAAAATCATTCTCTCGTGCTGACTGACTATCCCCCTACGCCCTAGCCAAGCAGGATCACAGTTTGAAATAGTAGCTAAAAAGCTGCTAAAAATATTTAAAATAAATTATTCCTGAATTTGTGCATTCATAATCACAGTAAAAATTCATTTCCAATTTCACATCCTTCCGTGGGACATTGTAAGCATAAATGAAAACAGGAAGTTTGTTTCTGGATTTATTTTCTCCCATCCCCAAAGAGGAGGTGGTGGCCAAGCCCATAATACTGGGGGATGAGAGCCCTCCAGGCCACCTCACAAGGCAGACCTGCCTCCACAGATACGGATTCCCACTTTTTTTCCCCCAAAATATCCTATTCATATTAAGGACAAAATACCACCTCCAGGAAGGGGAGGAGAGGCTTCCCCTGGAGCTTTCTTTCCTGACCAGTCTCTGCTTCTGAGTTTCACAGAGTATTTCTGCCTCAACACATCCATGAAAATC